TAGAAATTTTAAACTCGCCGCTAATAATTTTTTCTCTTATGACACTATTCAAGGTGTATTAAACAAGGTGGTGTTGGGGCGACAGCTGAGTTTTTCGCCGTGGAGGCCATTACGTCAAAATGATGTGTTTGTTGTAACTCATACCAATGACAGTATGGACATCAGCGTATAATTTGTTAGTGTAATTTTTTACGTATATACGGCCAACACCACCTTGTTAAATACGCCTTGACACTATTACTCAAACTACTACTAAAACTAACGTTTGTAGCAGGTAAATCGTTGGTAAATGACTGCAAACATTAATGCATTAAAATGATAGAAGCGAAATATGTATTTAATATTAATATTTACGTTGTCAAGCTCCATTATGCAAATTTATTAATTGTGCGCATGCGTTGCCAGTCAAGTCGCAAACGACCAAATACGACGAGGAATTTCGAATACACAAGCACCACAAGCACTTTCGATTACTGCAAGCAAGCGTGTAATATTTTCTGTACTCGTTGGCGTAGCGTCGTGTGCCTGTATTGCGCGATCGTGGCAAGTAGTGTACACAATTTGGCTCAACAGAAGAAGTATCACTAGCATTTGCACTTGCGATGAAGAGTAATGGCTTTGCGCGGAGAGATATAAGCATTCTACTTGGGAGTAGAGTACAAAGCAAAGAGTGCTTTCAAGCGTAGAAGAGACAAATGTAATTCTGCAACCCTTTAGTAGCTACCGATTCAGCAGTCCTGTAGTCGCTCCCCCGTACTGCAGGGTAATAGTAGAATGTGTTGAGCACACATGTGTAATACAGATACAAGGTAACATATCAAGAGTATGAGGCATGCTTGAAACCCGCATTAGGTCGTGGGTCGAGGCCACACGTTGCTCCCAGATAATAATAGTATCATAAGTATCATTAAGTAGACACAGGATTAGCCAGCCTTTAGAATCCATTTTACGAACTCACTCCATGTATCTGGCAAGATCGGCGGGTTCGAGCCTGTAGCGGCAGCCTGTTGTGTTGAAAGCCGCATAAAACCCTATCAAACACCTTCAAACCTTAACCTACGTATCTGTCCCATTGTGAATTGTTTGATCAAAGCTTGAATGTGTGTGTGTGTGTTTCAACAAATATGTTCATGTCCGGGATGCAGAGGAATGTGTGCGTATGCTTGTATTGATTGAGTGAAAGTATTTTGAAGGTAATTTCCTGGGGCTACAAGCGCACCGAGGGCATGATTAGAAAGCCAACCAGGAGCAAAGATCAGATGGATGTGTGCTCTTAAAGCAGTTAGAAGTGTGGTGCGCGAGTTTTGATCGTCCACAAAATATTAGTTAATAGTAAATTTTTAACTTAAACTGAGGCAAAGGATATAGCCCGTTCAAACGGTGAACCGAATTTGCGGACATACGAGGAATCCCGTTTGGGAAACCGGTCCAGAAGAGGTGTGTCAACGCAAATCAAAGCCCCGTTGAATAAGTGGTAAAATGTTTAATTATAAATAATTTTAACAAGAAATTAAAATAAAATAAAAATTTTAAATGGTTCAAAATTGCATAAGCGTACCGAATATACGAGACTGAATGTTAAAAACTAGGAGAAAACAAAGTCAAGTTAATTCTAAATGCGCTTAAAGTAAATTTAAACTATACCGAACTGCAGAAAGGCGGCGAGGGTGCTTAATTGAATTAAATAAAAGCTAACAATTAAATAAAACAAAAGTAAAATTTTTTTAAACATTTAAATAAAACTAAAAGTAAATAAAACTCAGAATCCGTTAAAAAAATAATAATAATTAATTAATTAATTAAAATTAAATTCAACGACATAATAAGTAGATACAAGCTAAACAAAAAAAGCTAAAAATTAAAATAAAACAAAAGTAAAATTAAATTAAACATTTAAATAAAATAAAATTGTGCTAAATTAAAATAAAATTAATTTAAATTTAAATTGAATAAAACTAAAATTAAATCAAACTCAGAATCCGTTTGAAAAAATTATAATAATTAATTAAAAATGAAGTCCAATGACATAATAAGTAAAGAAAAGAAAATCAAGAGTTGTGTTTGTTTGTATATGTTCGTTTCGAACGCAAATCAAACCTATCTCAGCAGGGAAACCGCGGACTAGTGAATCAAATTTCTACTTCCGTATTAGACCTTCATCGCTAAAAACGAACTAGTCCGATAGTAAATAGATCCCCCCAGTCCAAAATCTGCCAAAAGTGGTATTTTTAAAGTGACGAATTTAGAACTGGTTCAGAACTATAGAAAAAGGAATGCAGAACGAGCTATGTCTTATCTCTCGAATTTAGCACTAGTTCCGAACTATCGAAAAAGGGATGTAGCCGCAGCGCTTGTTTACATTACATAGATATGTGCTTGGCGGCATTTTCGTTCAAGTACGCTTCTATTCTGAACTTCGCAGATGCTTTTTCATAGATTGGTAATAGAAAACCAAAATTTCTGTTAACATCTTCAGATATTGGGACCGTATGGAATCTAACCAGTAACAGCGAGTACCTCTGCAAACTCAGCTGCAGCCAAAGGTTTGTAAGGCACTCCGCACATTAAACGCCTAGTCATAGTAGTGTAATCGTTCCGGCGTACTAAAGTATGAAGTTTTTATACCGAACACATGTATTTCAATGAAGCTCTGTATATTACGATTCATAATCATGTTTTCGCCTAATCATAAAAACTTCATGAATCGAAGCGCCCAACATTGTAAGGCGCTTGCCGTTTTGATATCGGCATTTGTTTACTTTTTTGTGCTCGAAATAAAAATTATTTGTCATTTCAGTAGATAACAATTGAAAATTAATGATTTTGTGCTAAAACTCGTGCCAATTGTATTAAGCCATAAACGTGTACGCAATATTTTATTGCAGAAATGTTCGCGGACGCGTATTAGTGAGATAGACCGGCCAGCAAATGTGTAATGTGCGCGCAAGCAGGGCTTACGCAGGGCGCCCAAGTGTGCAGACGTCGAGTCGTCATGCATTCGTTTTGACACGACAAAACGATTACACTACTATGATTAGGCGCCTAAACGTACATTTCTAACAATCATTCAAACAAATTTAATTTGAAATTGAAAACACATTTCTTTCAAAATAACTTAACATCGCACACATGGAATAACCAAAAATATTGAAAATTCATGATACTTTTTTCTTTCGTCTGTTGATTTTAGAACTGATTCGGAACTATAGAATTTAGGACTAGTTCGGAACTAACGAAAAAGGGATGCAGGGTCGCCATGTTAAATTGCATGCGAAAGGGATTTATCGCGAACCAGTACTGGGTCTAAATGTACTAGAGGCGCACCAAATCAGAACTAGAGACTTTCCCCACAGGGATGTACATGCACACATACAGATTTTAACCAAAGTATTATACTAAAATAAAATAACGAAATTGCTTAATTTCAAATAATATACGTACATATAAATAAACGATAACAATTGAAACAAAAAAATAAATGAGGCAATAAATATTGCAGATCCCAACCAAACAGGCCCTGGGACTCCGAAACGGCAAACTATCGACTTGCAGCCTTTGTTAAGCGAGCTTCGCAGTAAAGCTCGGAAAACTTTGACGACAGCAAGCGACAAGCAGCATCTGTCAAATATTAAATACACACGTTCTTACGAACACAATTATTTTGACGACAGCACCACATCTTGGCTGCAGGACTGCAATTGTCGACGTCGCCAAATTAAATCTATTTCTAATTTTGTCGGCGACAATGAGTAGATGTAGTGCTGCCACTAAAACATGCAATTTAAAAATTTTCTAGGCTTTAACAAGTCTAACGTTATTTAACTAAGAAAAAGGATAAAATAACTTTTATATTTTTAATGTAATAACAATCAACAATTTTAAACTAATTAAGCTACTTTGATCTCTTTTTTGTACAAAAAATTTCACTAAGGGCAAGATATTTTAATATTATAGAAGTGAAATGTTTAAATGTGGCAACAACGAAATTATGTACTTCCATACCGAAAAGCTGTTGTGCTAAAATAAAATCGAATTCTTTTGCTTATGCTGCACATTATTTATATTTGGTAAGATTTTCGCCATTAATTGTAATATTAGTATTTTGTTAACCCTAGAATACTATCCTTATTTTTTATTCCTTTAATACTAACGTTCGCCTGTGAGGCTACTTTAAAAAAAAAAAGTACAAAGTTTGCCTTTTTAAAAACTTAAATTTATTTAAAAAATTAGCTTAAACATATTTTATATGCTTCTAAAGTAAAAAATAAAAATAAATTAATTTAATATTTTCAAAATTAATAAAAATAATTCGTATTGAAAAATAACACATATTTTATCATCCTTTTGAGAAGGGTAATTTAAAAAAATAACGAAAAAATATTTTAAAGCGAACGAACTCCAACATTCCATAAATTATCTTGCAAGTATTTACTTTCACACTTAAAAGAAATTTATTGTTTATCTTTTCTATTGTAACTTGTACCTACACATCACATTGAGCCTTATGAATAAAAACTAAGCAATTGATTTTTCATAAAATATCAGGCCTTTTACTTTAATTTATTTGAATAAATCAAGGAAAAGGTTTGAAATCTCAAGAAAAAGTAACTACTTAGTTTTTTATTGTCCTCACTATCGCTTCCATTCAATGATATTTCTTCCAACCATTTTAGGACTTGTTCTTCATAGGTACCCCTCTCGAAAAGTAAAAAAAATATTAAGTTCAAAACATAAAATAGCCAACAATCATGTTAAAAACTTAAATAGGTACAGCAAACAAAATTACCTTTACTACAAAAGTTCGCCTGTCAGGCGACAAGAGGGCGTGGAACTCAGCCGCACAAGGTCACTGTACAATGTGCGTCTGCTAACAACCTCGTACAACACTAAACTGAGTTGGCGTAAACGCTTACTTTGATCATAAAAAGCGTTTCTGAAATATCACGAGAAAACCGAATTCGTTCCGCCTCACCGGCGAATGTTAGTATTCTAGGGTTAACAATTGCCATTATATTTCCAGGTATAACAATGGACTTGGATGAAATTTTAATAGAAGAAGTACGCAATCATCCACTGCTGTACGACCTTGCCCACATGGAGTACAAAAATTTGAGAAGAAAGGATTATGCATGGAAGGAGGTTGCAGCTAATACAAATTTGAGCGGTAGGTTAAACTATAAAAATAATTAATGAAATTCTGAAGCTCAATTGGTTAATAGAACTGGAGTGCAAGAAACGATGGAAGAGCCTCCGCGACTCCTATAAGCGCTGCAAAAGGATGGATCAACTCGCTTCCGGCAGTAGTGCTGAAACTCCAAGGGAAAAATTGAGACACTGCGAATCTCTACCATTTCTCGAAAATATATCAAATTCCCGGCGGTTAGTTATATTAAATAAGCACGCAGATATACTGCAGATCTAGGGTACATTTTAATTATGTCTACAACGATTTTGGGTTGCTGTACCCAAACGCGTGACCCGAATCGAAAAACTTTTATAGATACTTCTAGACAAGCGTCTACACTTTATTTAAAAATAATAATTTACTAGATCTCTGCACTAATTTTTTAATAATTTTGGTTTGAATTATGGTACTTTTTGCGAAATATGCCGAAGGTGTTCTCTGCAAAAGTTATTCAACCCCTCTTCTTCGGCAACACAGAAAGGAGAACTCTACTTAGTGAGGGTTATATTTTTTTGTTGGAAAACTTTCCTTTTCCTTTGCAAAAAATCCCAATTTCCCCTATTTTCAAACAGCTTCCAAGGGGGCCTCCCCCCCAAAATCGTTGTACAAATAACTAAAAATTTCACCACATTTATTTTAAATTGTATTTTTCAGCACTATTGGAAGTATAAGCGCAGATGATACTCAATTTATCGAAGAAAGTGAAGTGATGGAAATTGTTGATGTCAATTCAGCAAACAATTCTCAACCTGCAATAGAAAGACCTCAACGTTAGGTTTTAAATCCACATGAGCAAAAGGTATAAATGCATGATTCTTGATTTTCTATTTGATTTGATTGATATTTCCTCTTTGATCTACTTAAATTTAATGGGCTATAAAACTGCGTATCTAAAATTTTTCTAAAAATTGTGAATACAAAGTGTATCATTCTTAGGTGTGATTGTTAAAGTTGGTTGAATTTTTATAGTTTTTATACGAAGTTTGAAATGTGAATTTATATGGAGCTGGTTATGTAAGCTACTAGAACTTTATAAAAAAAATTATTAACATTAAATAAACAAAAGATAAATAGCCAAAACTGGTCAAAATGTCACTTTACTTAATCAGCTGACCACAAAGGTATATACATACATAAGTGTGTACATGAAGTGCCTTATTATTTATAAGTGAATGTGATATAACACTTGTAAAGATTGAAATGCCTTATAAGACTTACGTATACATATGTATATGCACGCTAGACCGGTTCAAAAAAAAAATGTTTTCTTTTTTCCATGATATTAGTAGAGAAATGAGTTGCTCTACATGTCCAAAGACATTTTTCCAAAGGCTACCCCCAATATCTTTAATATCGGTTTAGCGAATCGTATTTGAACGTCAAAATTTTTTGATTGTCGTGTTAGAACTTAAAATGTGTATAATTGGAAGCTATTTCGGGCTATTTCGAAAAAATCACCAGGTTTAAAGGGGTAGTTTTTACCCAGGAACTCAAATATGTTGATATTTTTATCTTACCAAGCAATCGTGATTAATAATAAATAGAATCTGCAACTCAATATTGAAAAAATCATGAATATCAATTCTCAAATTGTCCAACTATCCCCAAAAATTTTCCAATATTCTCAAAACTATGTACATCCTATTCAATTTTTCCGGCTTTTCAATGCCATCAACGGAATTTCGTTATATTTTTTTAAAATCGAGTTATTACCGATTTTTCTAAAACGCAGCGCAAACACACATATAGCAGACCGGCTAAAGAAAAAATGTTTTCTCCTTTTCATGATATTACCCTGTAGGGAAAATACGAACTAGTGAACCAGATTTCTAGTTCAGTACTAGTTCTTTATTGCCAAAAACGAACCAGTCCGATAGTAACTAGTTCCGCACCAGTCCAAAAGCAGTGAAATGTGGTACTTTCACTAAACTATCCTATTTTAAATTTTAGAAGCAGGGAAGGTAATCATTATGAGTAAAATAATTTAAATCAGCATTTAATCATTATTTTATGAATTATTATTGAGTTTTATTTTTTCGCTCAAACGGAAATAATTATTATTTGATTTTTATTTTTGGGATTACAAATAATGATTATTTTATGATTTTTATTTTTTCGCGCAGAGATTATCATTAATTTTGAGTTTTATTTTTCCACTTAAAAATAATGATAATTTATAAAATTGAAAAAGCCATACAGACGCAACCTACTGAAATTTTGACATGAAAAGTTTGGGTCTTATTCCTCTTATAAGGGTGCGCCTACCTCTCAAAAGGATACGTCGGTAATCACGCTGGTATAGTTTTTGAGTTGGTTAATAATCATTATACTTAGTGATTCCATAAAAAAAGGCCAAGATCCTGAAGGACAATTGAGAAAGGCAATGCAGTTGCAGAAAAAGAGGCATTTAAAAAAAAAATTGTCAAAATAATTATCACTTTCTTACTAAATTTATTTAAAAATGCAAGCCACCAGAGCTACATTTTTTTTAAGAAAAGACAAATTAATTTTTTTTTATGCAATCCAGCACAGCTACCTTAATACAGTCAGTCAATAAAGTTAAGGTAAAACGAATTTTTTACAATAAGAGCAACTATTTTTTAAATATTTTAGTTTTCGGTATTTTTTATAAAAATATGGTCAATTCTACAACAAAATCCCCAAAAATCAGAGTTCCAAACCTTGTGCAAAATTCAAGAAAATTCTGCAAAATTTCATTAAAATAATTCACTTTCTATTTACGCTCTCTAAAAAAAGCTTTTAGTCCATTCAATTTTAGTATAATGAAGTGCAAGTGTGAGGAAGCTAGGACTTACCAAGCAACAAAAAAAAAATTGCTAAATATCAATGGTAAGTCCCAGCTACCTCAAACTTGTTCTTTGTTATACTAAAATTGAATGGGCTAATAACTGAGTACTTAACTTTTTTCTAAAGAGTGTAAAATGCAATACTTGGATGGAAATTCGCAGTTTTCTTTAATTTTGCATAAGGTTTGGAACTCTGATTTTTGCGGTTTTTGGTGTAGAATTAACCATATTTTTATAAAAAATTAGGGGAAAATAAAATATTTAAAAAATAGTTGCCGGTATTGTAAAAAATTCACTGTACCTAAACTTTATTGACTGACTGTATATCTTATTAAAGTTAAGTACGACAAAAACTTTCGAAGTACTTCATATACATATAGGCTTAAAAAGAACTGAATTTACTTAAAAATCCATATGCTTAAATTTAGACAAGTAAGACAAAGTGAACTAATATTTTTACTTTTAAGCAGAACGCACTTTTGTTTTTTACTTACTACTTTACTTTAATACTACTACTGCTACTAATGTGGTTTATAAATTTATAATAAATGCGTTTAAACATTTGCGATTGTATTGTCCTTCCTTCAACCGATCGTATTTAATATAGAAGGGAAATGTTTCGACAAGCCTGATTAGAAATGTAGATCTAAGGTGACGAATTTATAACAGGTTGGGAAGTATAAAAAATGGATGCAGATCGAACTAGATCTCATCTGTCGAATTAGGAACTGGTTTGGAACTAAAGAAAAGGGGATGCAGAACGAACTAGATCTCATCTGTCGAATTTGGAACTGGTTCGGAACTATAGAAAAAGGGATGCAAAACGAACTAGATCTTATCTGTCGAATTTAGAACTGGTTCGGAACTAGAGCCAAAGGGTTGCAACGGGGGACAATTGACACTTCCTAGGACATCGCAATGTTAATTTCGCCAGTCGCTAGCATGCAAAAAAGAATTAACACGTACTAGTCATGGTTCCAAACGCACTAGAACCGAACCAGTTCCGCGCTAGTTCGTTTCCCTACACGGTAGTAGAGAAATGAGTTGCTCTACATGTCCAAAGTCTTTTTTTCAACGGCACGTATCGTATCGAATCGTATTTGAATGTAAAAATTTTTTGATTATCGTCTTAGAACTCAAAATGTGTATAATTGGAAGTTATTTCGAAAAAATCACCAGGTTTATAGGGGTACACATTTTAAGTTCTAACACGACAATCAAAAAATTTTGACATTCAAAACGATTCGCTAATCCGATATTAAAGATATTGGGGGTAGCCTTTGGCAAAATGTCTTTGGACATGTAGAGCAACTCATTTCTCTACTAATATCATGGAAAAAAAAAAACATTTTTTTTTGAACCGGTCTAATGCACGCGAAGTGCTTTATTTTTTTAGTTATATACATATGTATGTATATAAGTACATACATGTGTAAACGAAGTACCTTATTTTTAAATAAAATATGAATTAAAATGAATTTTATTTCAAAAACGTTGTGAATATTTTAAAAAAGCTACTTTCGCTACCCTGTAGGGAAATGAACTAGTGCGGAACTGGTTCGGTTCTAGTGCGTTTGGAACCATGACTAGTACGCGTTAATTCTCTTTTGCATGCTAGCGACTGGCGAAATTAACATTGCGATGTCCTAGGAAGTGTCAATTGTCCCCCGTTGCATCCCTTTAGCTCTAGTTCCGAACCAGGTCTAAATTCGGCAGATGAGATCTAGTTCGTTCTGCACCCCTTTTGCTATAGTTCCGAACCAGTTCCAAATTCGATACATGTGATCTAGTTTTTGTCATAACGACTTTCTGCTCTGCCAAAATTGTTCTCCAAATTGCTAACGGAGCATTATTCGTAATCGAAAAAATAAAAATCAAATAGTAATTATTTCCGTTTGAGCGAAAAAATAAAACTCAATAATAATTCATAAAATAATGATTAAATGCTGATTTAAGTTATTTTACTCATAATGATTAGCGTACCTGCTTTTAAAATTTAAAATAAAATAGTTTAGTGAAAGTATCACATTTCGCTTCTTTTGGGCTGGTGCTGGACTAGTTACTATCGGGCTGGTTCGTTTTTGGCGATAAAGAACTAGTACTGAACTAGAAATTTGGTTCACTAGTTCGTGTTTTCCCTACAGGGTAAGTTTTGATCGTCGATGTATGTATGTAATTGAAGTGCCTTTTCATACCTTTCAATAATCTTTTGGAACCGGAAGAATCGAACCACTGTAAGATATAGCTCCCATACAACTGATTGTTCAGATATGAGATTTTTCGTTATAACTTCTACATTTATGCAGCTAGGAACATGATATTTTGCAATACTTCTACTCATTATCAATAGAAAACTTAGAGTGAAAATTACAAAGATTGCGTCACTATAACCTATAGCTCCCATACAACTGATTGTTCAGATATAAGATTTTTCGTTATAACTCCTCCATTTAAGTAGCTATAAACATGAAATTTTGCACTGTTGCCACTAATTATCAAAATAATACTTTCAGTGAAAATGGCGAAGAGAGGCTCGCTATAACCTATAGCCTCCATACAACTGATTGTTCAGATATGAGATTTTTTGCCATAACTTCTCCATTTATGCAGCTAGGAACATGAAATTTTGCAATATTTCCACCCATTATCAACAAAATACTTACAGTGAAAATAACAAAAATCGGGCCACTTTTACATATAGCTCCCATACAACTGATTGTTCAGATATGCGATTTTTTGTTATAACTCCTCCATTTATGCAGCTGGGAACATGAAACTTCGCAATATTCCCACCCATTATAATAAAAATAGTTACAGTGAAAATTGCGAAGATCGGGTTGCTATAACATATAGCCTTCATGCAAATGATTATTCAGATATATTCTTTGTTATAACTTCTCCATATATGCAGCTAGAAACATGAAATTCCGCACCATTTTCACTCCTTATCAACAGAAAGTTTACAGTA